AACCCTTCTTCATCTGAGCATTCATTTCTCAACATTTCACTAGTTTTTAAAAAGTTAACTATGTATCCTACACATGTATGAAAATTACTGGGGTACTGCCTGTTCACTGTTGTATCTTCAGGGTCTATAGTTATGCCCAGAGAATAGTAGCAGCTCAATTTTCATTTGTTGAATGACTGAATGGCATGAATAAATTAAAAAACTTATGAAAAAGAGGTTATATTTCATATATATATATTTTATTATTATTTTAGGGATCAAATAGTCTACTCAGCACCCTACTTATCAGGGCTAACAAGAATTTCTACCTCCTCTGTTGTGATTGAACAGTGTTCTGTCTCCTTAGAGTGGAGACGACCTGAGTTTAATGTGGTGTCAGGTGGGAGATGACCTGCTAATCCTGTGCTTCTGGGCCTGCAGCCTTCATGTCCCCACTGAAAAAAATACTATACTGTTTTCCTTTGACAGAGGGTAAGCAGGAGGCCCCCTTATTTAATGTCACACTGCACATTGGAAGGAGCCCCAGAGCATTCCATGAGAGTCCCATGGTTTGCCAGGCTGAAGAACCAAGACCTGACCCCTAGAATTCATGAGGTACTTTGGTCTCTCCCCTCTGTTGGAAGATCACTTGTACCCAGTGTCAGCACCCCTTTACCCATTGGCTGGATAAAGGACTCCCACATGAGAGTATAAGAGTTGGAATATGAGAGTGTTCATTGACCCTTGGGTGCTAGAGAACCCAAGAACCCAAACTGAACCCAAAGTCTTTGAAGTGGGAAGGGAAAATTCTCATACTCCTCCGAAGTCCTTTTCAAAAGCAAGAACAAGAAAGGCATTAACAATTTAAACTTCATATAGTTCTTTGTCACATAGAATTATTTTGATATTTATAAATAAATACCATCATTTTCTAAGTATAGGGGTCATCAATAATTGCCACATTTTTATTTTTCACATTATGAAAATCTTAGTTGGTATTAAATGGTATAAGTGTGAAGCACAGTTAAGAACTGGAAGTCGGGCATGGCGAGACATACTTGTAACCCCAGCACTCTTGGGAGGCTAAGGCAGAGGGACTGAAGGGCTGAGCCACTCACTGACTCACTGACACCCTGTCTTAAGGTGAAAAATAAATAAAGGGTTGGGAATGAAGTTCAGGGCGAGGGCCCTGGGTTTGATCTCTAATACCCCACTAAGAAAAACAAAGAACAACTCCTCCCAAAAAGCTCTGGCACTTGGGGAGGATATTTAGGGCTCAGTATTTTCATTTTGCTCTTATGCTTTGCAAAATGTTCAATGATTTAATGCATGTGCTCACTTATTCATTATCCCCAATAATTTAATTGAGGTGTCACAAACTTAATCTAGTCATCTTCTTATTCTGGAAACATTAAAATGACATACACCAGTAGCGTTCGATCGATCTCCTGTTATTTGTCTTATGTTTTTAATTTATAACCTTTTCGCAGATGGTGGAAACACGACCAAGAATTAAAATATCCCTTCGTTAATGATGTAGATTATTTCATTTTCAAACTTTCACACATTGTGGTTACATGTGTTCCAGCCTCAATATTCCAAAGCCAGTCTGCTCCCCAATTTTTTTCATGTCAGAAAGGGAAATTGACAGCAATCATTTGAAATTATCATTTTTTATAAGTAAACAATATTTTTAAATGTGATAGACAACATTAATATACAAATAAGTCATGCAAATTAATAGAAAAAAAGACAAATCAATTCAAGGCAAATAACAAGCCAATAGAGACAACCTTGTCACAAAATGTAACAATGAAAGATTATTAATTATTGTAGATGTAAAGTGGTATTCTACACTAATGAGAACATTGACAGACCATTGAAGGAGCACTAGATTCTAGAGATTCTAGGGTGAGGCAGCTGGGTTCCAGTCCGGGCCCTGTCATTGGCTGTATGTCATATGGGTGAGATCCGTGGCTTCCACACAGGTAAGAGTTCTTATTTGCAATCCAGAGACAATAGAAATGACTATTTACAGTGCAACTGGAAAGAGGAAGATCATCCATGAACAACCCCTGGTGCAATTACAGAGACTCAGTGCTTATTGTTATTTTGGCAAAAGATATAAACAGGCAATATGCAACAGAAGACATATAAATGACTTGTAGACACAAGCAAAACATCTAATCTCACTAGTAATCAAATTAGCCTAACTTAATACAGCAGTGAGATATCATTGTTTTCCTAGTACATCTTAATTTAAAAATGCATTTGGATTCTTGTTTTTCATTCCTATGTGGTGAGTCCTGGAATGAGTAGAAATTGAACCGTCTTTGCAGGAGGCAGTGTGTCCATTTTTATCAAGAGTTTTAAACATTTTCATAGCCTTTGACGAAGACTGTGGAGCCTGTTCTGCTCCAGCAAGCAGTGCTCACAAGGGAGCGTGAGCCACCCAGGAGTGTCTCTGATGTGGAACACTCTGTGTGGTTCGCTCTGGAGTTGAGCAGCTGAGCTCTGCCTTTGACCTGTTCAGTTTACAACAACGAAGGCCAAGAAAATAAATAGAAAACCACACAGACTTATATGCAAAATCTTAGAGTCTAGTGTAATTTGCAAAAGGCAAAAGCTTGGAAAGTCTTAAATTCAAGCCAGCAGAAGAACAATGAAATAAATTACTATAGATTCATGCAATGGAGTCTTACATAGTTGTTAAAAATCATGTCAAGGACATTTAATGACATAGGGAAATATTCACTCAAATTCATTCCTGAAAAAAGTAGCCTTACTATTGTCTCTAAATAAAAAAGTAAAATATACTCATTTAAAAGTTGCACAATATCAAAAAATTAAATAGCATAAATGCTAATAATTTTAATATTTCAAGATAGACACCTTTGATATAGTTCCTAACAGTGATTTTTTATTCCACACAATAACATTCTTACAAAATGTAAACTGTAAAAAGCAGATTGATAAACCAATCCCTACAGGGTGGGAGAAAGATAACAAACATAAAAAGGTATTTACTTATGGTAGGGGGAAGATGTGTAGTATCACTCATTCATTTACCTCTTTCTTTTTTAAAAATTGTTTTAAAAATAACATGAATGCCAGAAATGAATTTTTCTTACTTATATCTATTTCTTTTGGTGCTTTGAATATGGAATATAAAAAGTAGGCAACATTCTTTTTGCAAAATGAGAAATAACACTCATTAATCACTTAGCCGTCTTCTTCTTAATGAAGACATGCAAATGTATATGCAAATGAGCTGAACTTCTATTATGAGACAGTGACAGGATGCTCTACAAAAGAGAAGGTAATGATAGAGTGTGAAAAATAGGAGGGCAGAGGAAGGTTAGCAGCGGTGGAGGATTTCTTTTCTGAAACCCTTAAAAGAGTTGGACTAATCTGATAGTGTTCTGTCTAACAATAATAAAAAAGACCACCAACAGCAGTAAGAAATGAAAGCTAGTCATACTGACAGAACACACACAGAATAACTGAATGGGGTGTGAAGACTCAGATGAAAATGTATGAAGCTGTAATATTGTTCAGATTTCATCATAAGTCTTGCCAGCTATTGCTATTCAACTATTTGTCAAGTTTAGTCAATATCACCCACATCTAACCCTAGGGTACTTTTATCCAATATCACACATTTGGATCAAAACTGAAAAAGAGCAGTTCAACATTCAGAAATTTTTGTCACAAAAGCACACATTCACATGTTTAGAAATACAAATTGAGTAAACTCAGTGTCCCTCAAGACTGTTGGCGTTCAATAGCCAAAGCTTTAATGTCATGAGAGAGTACAAAGCATTACGGTTCTTGAATATAACTGTCCCAAGGAGAATTGGAGCTAGGCTTATAGAAAATTAAATTCATAGGACAGGGCAGAGGAGAATATCAGACAGCATCCTATTGTGTTAATCCTGTTTCTGCCCTCTCGTGTGGAAAATCAGGACAGCCTGCTGCCTTTAAATGGCTTGGGAAACCAGAACAAAGATAAACAGTTGCATTCTATAAACATGTTTGAAATTGCATTATAGGAAAGGTTCTTGGGACCGGGAAGGAAGATGCAAAACTGTGAAATGTCCACCAGGGCACTGCAGTCTTTCAGTAACATGAGAGAGCCGGGTAGAAGACAATTGCAAAACCTGGCAGAATTTATTACAGTGCTGACTTGGTGACATAAACAGGGAGCGATTAGGGGACAGTTCATAGAAAAGGGCTGTGATCCCTATTATAGTGATGGTAGACTTTGCCACTTCAAATGGCCCAGGAAGAGCAGCTTCAGCATCACAAACCCACTGATTAGGGATGGAGACCCTCTCCTCCACCTTCAGGTCCCCTGAATAGCACCTCTGCAGTAGACCCAGGAATCAGCGCTAACAACACTCCAGGTCATGCCTGGAGGTTTTCAAGTTTAAGAAGCAGATTCTCTCTGAAGTATAGGCACCGTGATATAAGAAGTCATGATCTTTTATGTTGTTTGTAACAAACTTAAATAACACAAAATGTTTTATTCATTAACTCTACAGGTTCATTGTAGAACAGTTCAAAAATGTAGAAAAATAAAAAATGTAAAGCATACTACCTTAATGTATCAATACATCAAATAGGGTTCTCCAGAGACTCTGAACTGGGGCAAGGGACATGGGAGCAAAGATATGTACACATGCATGCACATGTGTGTGTACCCAGTGTGTATATGAGATAAATATACACATTCACATAGGAGCTAGATGTAGATAAAAAACCTACATATAGCTGACATGTATGAGCACTATATACAGGACACATACATAGCACGTATGGACACATAGAGGAGATCAGGCTCTTCTGCCTGGTGCTTTTGTCTTGGAGCTAGCTTACCATGTACTGAACTCTGTAATACTGAGCCAAATCACACTCTGTACAGTTTGCTGTGCACGGTAGGCATCGTGTCCCTGCAATGGGAATGCTGACAATGGAGATAGATGTAGATAGGAGAGATTCATCATATGTCATTGGCTCACCTGATTATGGAGATGGCAAGTCCCACATCTGCAAGGTGAGCTGTACTCTCAAGCCCCAGGAGCACTAATGATTCAGTTCCAGTCTGAAGGCCAGCAAGATGGAAACCCAGGAAGAGTCAAAGCCTCAGTGCAAATAAATCCAAAGGTGGAAAAAAAAAAAATAGCTAAGGACCCAGTCTGAAGGCTATCAGGAAGCATTTTTTTTACTCTCAAAGGACAGTATTTTTCTGCTATCCAGGCCTTTAACTGATTGTATGAGCCCCCCCCCCCCCATTGTGGAGGTCCATCTGCTTTACTCAGCCTCTCGATTTCAGTGCTAATCTCATCATCTTTGAATCATTCAGATTATCTGACCAAGTATCAAGTGCTGTGGTGTGGTCATGTTGACACATAAACTGACCATCTCTACAGTCTGAGTCTTATGTGTCCTTCCCAAGTCCATATATTAATAATAAGCCTCGATTCCCAGCATGGAGGGGTTGGAAATGGCAGGAAGTTTAAAAATTTAAAGCATTTTGTTTTACATAATGTTCACCCTTTCAGTTTCCTCCCTAAGGAATGAGAGTTCACGTGGATGAGAAGAAACTCTTTGGGGATGAAGAGTCAGCTAAAATACTTGCGTCTCTCTGCCACTGCCCTGCTTCCATGTGGGAGGAGGGTGAGTGCATGTGCAGTGTCACTCCTGCTACCCAAGCAGTGGGCTTCATGTTCATACATTCAGAACACATAGGAAGTCAAGGGTATTTTCCCCAAAGCAATTTTTCTAGCTGTGGTGTGAAGCATTTCTCTGGCATAAACATCACCCTTCAACCCGATTTGAGCTGAAAATCCCATTTCTAATCTTCTTTCTGATTGAGAAATGATAGAGTGGATTGGCTGGGAAGCAGCTGCCTTGCTGACAGCTGCTTGCCCTTGTGGGAGTGGTCCTCAAAGAGGTGGGTATTGTTTACGCTTATTCATCCAGACCTACATTTTAAGAATCATAGTGTGGATTAAGTATAAAGAAAAATCCTCTGCACCACTGAGGAATTTGTGTCCTAAATTATATCCTATTTTCTTATATCATGATGTGTATGATTACATAGTCTAATAAAAAAATACCTTGATGAGAATTTGACTTTTTTCTCTTTATGAGCAGAGAAAGACCGAGAAAAATTATGAAGCAACATTACCCCTCACCATTTGCAGCCAATCTCTCCAGAAATATAAATCTTTCCCTCATGGGAAGTTTCAAACCTTATCAGTATATTCCATCTTGTTGTATCTTATATATTTATATACACTTTTCATTGCTATAGTCTATATGTATTCAGTATAATCTATCTATATGTAGTTAATATATATTCAGTATAATCTATCATAGACACATACACACGCACACACATATTCCAACTTGACTGTTCTAGGGTGCGATCTGGAATTAGGATTTCTAAAAGCCTTCAGAATGATTCCAAATATACTCAGAGTTGCCAATCATCATCCTTGGATGCTTATTACTCAAAATGAGATGATGTATTTAGCCAGTTAGAATTCAGGGTGTGGGACTGCCTGAAGGAGACTGTGGGTCTGAGCAAGACCTCCAGCTAATCTGCAGACATATTAAAAGTTGTGCAGCTCTGTCCTAGATGATGCACCTCTTCTTGGAATTAAATTCAGCTTTGAAGGAAATAAAGAAATTGGTTCATGTGAAGATAATGGACTCCACGCTGGCGGTCCTCCCATGGTGATCAAATCATAGCATGCATTCACAGCACAACTGAGGTGGAAGAAAGGAAAGTTCTGATTATGAAACTTGCAGCGTTTTTGAGCAGGATAAGAACATTCACAGCACGGTGCACTAGTGAGGAATGTGTTGGTGGGTGATTTTGTTGTTATGGGGCTATCATAGTTTGTGCTTACACAAACTTGGATAGTATTTATAAAGTCCTCCCATCGGCCTCTGGATGTAGTCAAGAGACAGTGTAAACATGAGATGTTTGAGGCCCACATAACATGTCATAGTGTTTTACAATAAGCCTTAAGTGATGTGACCAAAATAGATGGCAAATATTGAAATTAAAAGAATTTACTAGAGTAAAAGACACATTGCCGTTAATCCTCCTCAAAATACTCACCCTGCATTCTAGCCTACTTC